AGTTCTCATTCTGGATAATTTCCGTGATAACATAACGGCCACATCTGCGAACGCATCGTTTTGTACTCCTTCTGACTAGTAAAGGACGCCATTCGTTACGGGTCCCACTGCCTCCTGCTACAGTGAACCCTTCAATGTGGAGCGGGGAATCCGTGAGCCAGGGGCAGTGTCGCCAGTCTAGGGGGGTGGGGGGTGAGGGCAGACACTTGACATGCGTGAGAAGCTGGAATGTTCGAATTCAACCGCGATCACATGGGATCCCCGCGGGTTAAGGCAGTGGGTCCCGCAACGAATGGCGCCCCTATACTAGTCAGTAGGAGTACAAAATGATCACTCCATCGTTGTTAATTATTTTGGCTTCTTGGAATGCTTAGAACTGTTACGCCCTTCAGTAAACTATAGGACGGCTCTTGAAGTGTTGCGCCTGAGTAAAATTGTGGAAGTCATATTGAAAAATGTTTCGTCAATTTTCCAGAAATCGAGGAAATGTTGCTTCTTTAGCACAGTTGTAAAATTGTAGGTTGAAACAGACATTCAGTGTTTTGCAACCCCTTCCAGGTCGCTATCATTTCTACTCTTTGTAGATCTCCTAATGTTTAATTTCAGAATTCCGGATCCATGCAATCTTGGACTTAACGAAAGCCCAGAAATTGAAGCTCGGTTCAAGGACTACAAGGTTTGCGTGTACCTCATCCAGTGTTTTCTTGTTTCTTTTCTCTCTTTGTTACGCCTTCCCAGCGCTTTTGGTAATGAGTTGGTTTTTAGGTCCTGCGACGTGCGGATAAAGTTGATGATCACTAGCTTTCAATATCGAACTTCTTGTAGAAGACTGTTATGATTTTAGTAATATAGTATTGAGATGATGTCAATAAAAACATGATTGCAAACTTGTTCCTGTAATTAATTAAAAGCGGTCTTTGTCCATTGATCTCCATTAGTCCAAACCATGGAATTTTTGATGTTGTTATATTGATCTACGGTTCAACAGTTGATCAGAGGTACACAAGTACTCAAAGTACTAGGATAGATCGACAGCGCGGTCGCGTAAACGACTTTCCACTTTTTACGAATAAATGAAGATGATCGGTACAGCATAAGACTTGTTCATTGGTCGATGCAGTAAACAATGAAGGTCAATGGAGTATGTGTTGTGCCGGGCGTAACTTGTGTGCCTGGCGCATCGATAAGAGCCATGTGGTCATTCATTCTCGGCTAGTTGTTATCAATCGTAGGAGCCGTTCACTTGGTAGTTTTAGGATTTTTTACCGTCTAGCGTAAAACGGTTGATAGCAATGTGCGAGGAAGTGCTTCTTTACCCCGAGAGTTATTGATTACTTTCTGCTCTGTCACTCGGATTTCTCTCATTTCTTTCATATTTCTCCCCCGAAAAGCTGCCTGAGTTGTTGTTGAAGTACATTCTGTACTGCGCCTTCTTCTCAAAAGCACTTTAATCACTTCCCATGGTGCTGGCAACTAGTAACCCTTATTATGCCCATGGACATGAATTGTTTTTCTGAACTATCTTTTTCTTTTTTTCCTTCAGCTCGTCCGCTGATCTTTAAGAAAGTAGATTTCATGCTGCTAATAAGCCTTAAGTTCGATCGCAGGCATTTACTTGGCATTGGTGGTCCTATTTTTGACAGTAAAATAGAATATGCCCCAAGTCGTATTCTACGATTGTGCGGTGATAGGAATACTTGCTTAGTACAGGACTTGGAATCGCGGTCATGTTCTCTACGCTCTTTTTTGTAAAGCTTTGTAGCGCTGTAGGAAATGAAATCTCCTCCAGCTCGCTGTGTTCCCAAGCTCTAGTCGTGAAGTTTTCTCTGAATTTGGATTGTCTGAATTTTGATGAAGCTTTGAGTTAGGTCAGATCTCACAGAATCCAGCGACTTTCTTCTATGATTTCAAGCTTATCTGACAAATATTCTTGAAGTCGCTTTGAAGGCATGATTGGACTTCCCGAAGATGATCTTCGGCGACGTCACCCGTCCACAGCCTCTAAGTCAAGTAGCAATGGCAGTTCGGCTTCCAATGGTGCAGGAGGCGTCACCCGGAAACTCTCTTTTGCGCAAATGAGAAAAGAAGAGTCAGCAAAAGGGTAGGTGGAACTCATCTAGCCAGTTTATTTGTTCAACACGGTATTTATTGGAAGGGACTGTATATTTTTATTTTTAGCCATGTGAAAAGATAGTCCATCGCCCTCAGGATTCACTGTTCAGTAGTAGTTCAGGGTGGACCAATTACAGAGGATTTTTCAACCTAGCAATGCTTTTACTGGTATGTCAATATTTGCTGCCTTTAACGCCGATGTCATAGTTAACAAATGGAGTGGTTCGCTAATTGCACCAGCGAATCGAATTTCGCGCCAGCGAATCGAACTATGTACCAGCGACTCAACACTGTTTGAAAGTGGCGGGACTTCCTTTGAAACGTTGGGTCCCGCCACTTTCAAACAGTGTTGAGTCGCTGGTACATCGTTCGACTCGCTGGTGCATCGTTCGATTCGCTGGCGCAAAGTTCGATTCGCTGGTGCAACGTTCGATTCGCTGGCGCAACGCTCGGATCCAGCGATTCGCTAGCGAATCGCTCGATTCGCAAACTATGACATCGGCCAGAGCGGCTTCAAATTTTCATTGAACGGCTGGAATTCTAACGAACTGAAACATCGTTTTAGTTTTCATGTAATTAATCCTTCAATGATTTGTTCAGGTTGTTTCCAATGGTCGTGTGGCGCTCGAAAACCTCATTAAATATGGCATACTTATATCTCCAATAAAGTGGGTGTCCTTCATGTTAGAGGAGGCATCTATATGGAACTGGCCAAATTTCGCCATGGTTCTGCTATCAAACATCACAATAATGGTTGTTTTCCTGATGGAAAAGATTCTGGGTGAGTATGTTATTGTTTAAAGTTGTAGAGAAAGTATTATGTATGCAGTCTCATCAGTTGCTATCAAGATTTCGCACATGCTCGAAAATAAGGTGACGCTGATCAAGTCCCCATGGCTATGACACTGAAAAGAAGAGATTCGGTAAGAGGCAGGGTGCAGTGTCTTATCGTAAGGTTGTCGTGACGGGAAATGTCAATCTAACTGATCTAAGCTCACTTCTTTTATTGCAGCAATGAACGGATGTTATCAGTGAGTCTTAAAATAGTATTGCAAAAGTGGAGCAGTATTGTTGAGATTTTTCTCGCTCTCATCCTAAAGCGTAAAGCGTGTGTGTTGTGGCAAGAAATCCGCTTGCTCTTATAATACGCAGAAAAGCAAATGGAATATTTTGAGGATTATGGATCGATCTAAGGTGAAAATGAAACATGATCGCTCTCTCCTATAAATCTATCAGGCTACTTTTAATAGGTGTCGTGGAGAGGGGTACATGTCAATGGGCCGAGATACATAGTACTGAGTTATTCGTGGCGAACCTCTCCTCGATTGTTACTTGGGCGGAAATGCCTCTGAAGACTGCCGACGGCTTTTTGTTGCACTCCTCGGAGACACAGTAGGCGTGAAGGAAAACTGGGTTTTAATGGATTGCGGCAGTTTTTTTGAAATGAGCAATTGTTCTTTGCAATGTATTATAGTTGACCTGAAAGTGCGATTTGTTGGTGTTATTTCATTGGGAGCAGAGAACATTATCGCGTTAAGACAACAAGGAGCGAAGAACGACCATCTCACCCTGTATCCATTGACTTGAACCGCCTCAGTGCGTTTTAAACTTAGAGACCGGTTGCGAATTGAAGGATGTGGATGTTTTTTCTTTCGCGCATGCTAGGAAAGTTGCTTGTCTGCCTAGGTTACTAACCCGTAAATGCTCTAAGCTTTCCACTTCGACGTTACTGATAAGGGCGGCTTTTTCCTCAGTATTCACTGACCCATTTCGGTAGGTCACATTATCCACAAGCAATGGTTTGACTGAAAATTGCGCTTTCAAGGTGTGCTTGATCGGGTGCATTGAAACTGCGCTCAACCTGACTTCAAAGGTCTTAAGAAAAATTTCAGAGAAAGGCTACCTGGGCAACTATTTCGCGGCTGTCTTCTATTGTATACTTATTCCGGCGCACTTAGCTGTTCCTGCTGCATTCACGCTGGTTCTTAAGGTAAGAGTCCTATGTCCACGGAACTGCTGATTTTTAACTCCGTCTGCTTGTTATGCTTTGCTGGAGTTTTCACCTATTAAAAGTGTTCGAGTCATCCAGCAGCAGATCTTGTTCCATTCTCCTCGTGCCTCCCTACTACATCTCTATGTGTATGAGTTATCTAGATAGCCGAATTTTTAGCTTCCACCACCTTTGAAGGAAATGGGCCAACTCTTCTTCATCAATATAACATTTTTATAATATGTGATTCTATTGGCATGATGTGTTGTGCAGTTCCACATCGTTTTGCAGGGTAATCCACTATGTTCTGTCTGCGCTCTATCCGTTTTTGTGATTGAGTCGCTGAAATTAGTGTCGTATGTCCACGTGAACTATTGGTGTAGATGTGCTCGCCTCGAGAAAGCCGTTGAGTCGAAAAAGGAAGATATCACCAGGCACGAGGTTTGTTTAGAACTACCACATTGGAGCCAGCTTTGTGGAGCAAAATATCGTTCAGATAGATATAGCGCATCTTAAAAGTAGTCCTTTGATATTGGGATAACAGAAAGTGAATTAGTTTGCTCTTTTCACTGAGAGAAGGCCGACATATTTGTACAGCTGTTCAATTATACATTTTGTCAACTGTTGTTTTGTTCTCTGCAGCTCGTGATCGGATTATCATAGGAATCGTGTCAAGCTACGGGCAAAGCGAGGCCGTGCAACACATTTCTAGAAACATTTCGATCTGAGTTTGAGTGCGGGCTAAGTTGATACTTTTTGCGCATCGCTAAGCATTCGAAGTGATAACGTTCTCGTTGTCGAACTGTCTTGTATTCTTTTGCCAAACGTGGTTAGACTTATCGTCTTCTTTTGTTGCTTGAAAAGCGAATTGTTTGGGCCATCTTCAGACTTCTGATGAGGACCTGGATTTGAAGCATAATTCTAAACCATGAAGGTTCATAAAGTTAGGTTGGGGGTATTGAAAAATGTTCTTCAAAAACTGCCGAGATTTCAACCATAGATAACATACTTTCTCATCTGCTCTTTCAGCTGTCGCCACCTGAGATGGCTTCATTGTATCCCGCATCACTGAACCTCTGTGATCTCTATTACTTCATGTTGGCTCCAACCCTATGTTACGAGCTCAAATTTCCGCGATCTGTTCGACGACGGAAGTGGTTTCTCATCAAAAGATTCGTCGAGGTAAGTTCTCTCATTTTAGTTCCTGTTCCAGTTTTAATTAATTTTTAGTCACAAAACATTCTTTTAGTTGGTATTCCTTACATTTTTGGTAGCAGCTTTGGTACAGCAGTGGATTGTTCCAACTGTGCACAATAGCATGCGCCCACTTAACGAAATGGAATTTGGCAGGTCATTCAGAGTTTCACCCCTTTTACAAGTTTTCTATTCTCTCAAATGTGTTTGGCAATCGTTCATGTTTTCAGAAGTCTTGAGAGGCTCTTAAAATTGGCAATACCTAATATTGTCATATGGTTGATTGGCTTTTACACAATATTTCACGCGATGCTGAATTTGATCGCGGAAGTGCTGCGGTTTGCAGACAGGGAATTCTACCGGTACTTTTTTATTTGTATAAAATGTTTGTTATATCTATCAGAATTTGGTAAGTGAAATAACCCGATGGCAGCTGTCGCGCTCATTCGAATTTATCCATGAAAATCTATCATTCATGTGTGTCCATTGTTAATGAATCTATTTATATTCATTCAATTTGCAAAACTTAATCCAGCTATCTATCTGTTTTGCTAGTGAGGAGTGTTTATTGTTCGGAAGCACACAAATGCTTTGAATCTGAAATTAGTGGAAGGCTTTTTCCATAAAGGACTGGGGTGGTAGTGGCTCTGCGCTCTTCAACACCCCTATAGTCCGTGCATTAAATTGTGGATTCTACGACGTTTAGGCCGGCCTGCCTTTCAGTTTCACTAGGTTTGTTAATTGGTACCGAACTTGTTTG